CTTTTCTGCTCTCCTCTTCTCTCCTCTCCTCTGCCTTCCTCTGCTCTTCTTCCTTTTCCTTCTAACTCTCTCTCCAACAGGTCTTCTCCTTTCCTGCCATCACCGTGTCTCCTCTTTTATTTACCTTGTTAGTTCTCAACGTCTGGTCCAGCAAAGGCATGCCAAGCTTCAGAAATGTCTCAACAAAAATTCTTCCAAGCTACGTTGAAAGAATGTAGACGATATTAATTAGACGCAAACTATGCTCAAAACATAGCACGCAACAAAGCCAAGATAGAAACTTGATTAGTAACCACAAATAGCGCAACCCAAACCTGGTATCACCAATGTACGTCTCAAAACCCGATGGAATGGCAACGAAGCGTCACTTGACAACAGACAGTGTCTATGATCGCTTAATCATGAAGGCCATTACGAAGTTGAGGGGAAAGATTGGGTCGAGTGGCATTGCAGTGCATTTTGGGATTGCTCTAGGGGATACATATACAGCCCCAAAATGCACTGCAATGCCACCTCGACCCACTTTTCCAAGTTGAACTCCAAATAGCTAATAGTAATGCTGAATTGATACCTTAAGAGCTGAAGCCAAGACTTGCCTTTGATCAAATGCCTAATGAATTAATACAAGGAATTAGAAGATTGAGGGACTGTTTGGACATTACCATCGAGAACAAGATAATCGAGAATATGATGATGGCACCAGCAGAACACTCACTGAATATAGAGTATAGGTCGAAGCCCGTTAATACGAACACTGACGCGACCAGTGAAAATAGCCGTATTAATAAGGCGACCACAATAAGGGGGTTAATTTGATTGTCCTGATAAGAGGGAGCTCTTACAGATACTGTTGTAATCTTACCTTGACCAGGTTGATAAGGATGTGGAATTCTCTGACAATAATATTCAATTGCGTCAATCGTTCATTCGCCTGCAAAAAAGACAGAGTATTGTAATGTGTATTGGTGTGTAGTATGTTGGGTGTGTAATATATAGAGGATGTTACATGGGCGCGCGGAGATACGAAATTTATCTTTGAGTGCTGAAAARATCTCTCACGATTGAGCGCAGCGAACGAGTGAGAGATTTTCAACACGAGAAGATAAATTTCGTATCTCCAAGTGCCCATGTAATATTCTGTTTGCATTATATAATTATCCATAAAATCAACTCAATAAGCTTTTTATTATTATAAAAAGTTTTGTTTTTATTTATAAACTAATAGCTTAAATACACATGGTAACGATATTTTCACATGTGAAAATAACATGTTATTTTCACATGTGAAAATATCTGTTTTTCGATAAGGAGAAATATATATATTTTATGGATAATTATATGATAAAAAGTGTTGTGTTGAGTGGGTGAAAGTGTTACATTTAGTTGGGAACGGTGCAACGTGGTGTGTGGTGGTGTAGTGTACTGTGTTATATATCGGTGTGTGGTGTGTTGGGCGTGTAGTATGTGTTGTGTTGAGTGGGTGAAGGTGTTACATTGAGTTGGGTACGGTGCGACGTGGTGTGTGGTGGTGTAGTGTATTGTATTTTGTATCGGTGTGTGGTGTGTTGGGCGTGGTGCAGTGAAGTATGTTTTGTAGTGTTGGATGGTGTAGAAAATTATATTGAGTTAGGTTCGGTGCGAGTACGGTCCGACGTGGTATGTGGCAGTGTAGTGTGTTGTGTCATGTATAATGTGGAGGTGGGTTTGATGTATGGTGGGTTTTTGGTGTTGTGTTATCGAGTCCTAGTGTGCGTCGTCATGCGGGACGATGTAATGTGGTGATGTGGTGTGGCGCAGTGTGGTGTGGTGTAGTATAGTGTATTGCGGTGTACTGCAGCATTACGCTAACCTGTTCCACATCAGTTCTTTTCAAAGGAACTCCATGTGTTTGTTTTAGATATGCGATTAACTCTTCAAAGACTGCACGGTAAAATGAAGGCACCGTCGATCTAAATATAACACAACAACATACGATATTATGATCTCTATTTGCTGCGATCTGTCAATATTTGATAAAATATGCGTGTGTGCGCAACCATATAGCAGTTTCAGTCAATCTCGTACCCAGAGCCTGCGTTTCTTCTGGCCTGCGGCGAAGAACGAGGGCTCTGGTACAATCCATGTTTTGAGACCAGGATTTCTTGGACTTTCGGTATAAGAGCGCATGCGTTCAAAGACTTGGTAAAAATATTTTTTAAACATGTTCCCGATTTCTAATTTTTATTTTAATCGGAAGTAAACACATAACTCTGTTTTAAAGAATGATTTTCGATGATTATATTTCACTTCCGGAAAATTGCACATGCGCAAAAAATGGATTATGCCAGAGCCTTCGTTCTTCGCCACAGGCCAGAAGAAACGCAGGCTCTGGGTACGAGATTGAGTTTCAGTCAATCATGCATCAAATAACACACAATGTTATAAAACTTGTCGTCCTGAATGCTGCCACTATTTTTTGAGATCCGTCAAGAACTGATATAACAAATTTTGCTTGAATAGATTTCGAATCCCATTTCCATTTACCTTAGGTTCACAGGATGGCTTACCTCGTAAGTGTTGGATATGATTCAGATGCTGCGCACGTGTCGTCCTCCATTAACTCAGTGAAAGCACCAGCAGTTATTTCTTCAATGGCTGCCAGTGGGTCCTCGGAGAATGAGAAGTTAAACCTGAAAAGATAAGAATATCAAGAATTCGATATTTGAAAAATTACCTAGGATAAAGCATTCGCATTGATTGATCAAAAAGACGGTCCAAATTCGTCTTTTCGAAGTTCAAATAGACTAGTGTAGACTAGTGAAGTTCAAATAGATTTGTGCAAAGTGCGCACTTGTGGCTTCCACTGATTGCAGTTGAATTTTAACTGAAGGAACTATGGACGTTAAGCACCTTTTACAGTCTCGTAAATTATAAGGCTTTGGACTGAAGTTGTCGTCGCGAGATGACAGAGCTACTTTTAAATTAAAATTAAATTAGGTTAAAATCTCTTTCTCGAAATTCCGCCCCACAATCAAACGAATATAAGGACATTCTCAGTCTATCTTTGAATTTTCGGAATAGTCTGATTGCGCACTTAAATCAAGCAATGTTTAAAGCTATTACTTCTTAGAACTATAGCCCAACTAGTAGTAACTGAAGATTGTTTGTCACAACATGATTTTCAGTTACTGAAAACTTAATAAACATAGAAAGCTACATAAAATTATGAAGTACAGTTGTGTGCCGTGCCGTGCCCATACCTTAAAAGATACTGAAGGGCCTCGTTATATTTTGGTCCACTATCTTTCTCTCCGTTACTCTTGATCCATTCTCGCTTTAGAAAACCTCCGGTCAGCTTAGCTGAAACAACCAATATCAGTGTAATCAAATTAACGACTCTAACACTTATACCTTTCAATGTGTTGCTGTTCTTGTTGTAGAAATAGTAGTATTTGCTTAATTTAATAAAATTAATATAGTTTTCATTTGGACAAATACTGAAGAAATAGAAAATGCACGCGCGTGCTGTTTTCAGTCATAAAGCACGCGGGGGTTGGCAGAACATGAGAGTAGTGTTAGGAGAAGGACGACCCGTACCGGAGTGCTTCTCGACACTTCTCGAGTGTTCTGCCAATCCCCAAGTGCTTTATAACTTCACACAGCACAGCAAGCAAGTTTTTTATTTCTTTTATAAAATACAAATTTCATGAATGACGAAACTGAAAGTGCGCGCTCGTGCTGTGTGCTCTCATAAAGCACGCGCTCCCAACCAATCAGAACGCGAGATTTAGAGCAGTTATTTTATAATGAAGAAAAGAAAACGCATGCGCATGCTGAATACAGTTATAAAGCATGTGAGGAATGGCAGAGAAGTGTTACGAGAAGCACAAAGGGTATAGGCGGTTATCTTATAATCTGAAAATGCATGTCGGCCATCTTGAATTCGGTTTTATCAAGATAAGAAAGGCTGGTAACGAAATCGTGCCGCAAAGGATTGAGAGAAGAGATGTCTGTCACCAAAACTCAACGATCTTAAGTTGCACTCTCAGTCTTCCTTTAAACTCTTTAAGTGGCACTTGGATGAAAACGCCTCAATTTTGAAAGTCCAAATAATTCAAATATTTGAGGATAATATGACTCATATATGATTATGAAAACCAGTTTAGTGAAAATTTTAACCTGGGAACCGCTTGCAGTTGAGAAAGTTTGGTTTAAAAGCGAAAMGAACTATAGGGCTGAATGAATGATGTCATTTACTCACAATTTAGATGCTGAAAAAAATCAATAATTTTTATTAATTCTTATTATTTCTATTAAGATAATATGTTGCTTGGCCACTTTTGGAGCCAGCCATACAGATAAGTTTAACCAAGTCAGTTTAACCAGGTGCCCCTTTAAGGTGGCTGCCTACTTTTGAACGTTCGAATTGAGCCCACGATGAGCGCGCGCTCAAAAACCGCTGAAAAATCTACAAGATTTTATTGAAGAAC